GTTTTCTATTCTATTTGTAGAAAGTATGTAAATTATAATCTCTTCCCTCAAAACAAAATGTAAATTATAATATCAGTACAAAAATAAAGGTTGAATATTTGTGCGCATAAATATACAGACGAATGAAATAACTATTTTTTACTAATTGTTCACATATTATTTAGAAAATAATCATATATTTAATATAATATTTGTTAGTTACAAAAAGGTTGTATATTTTTAAATAATAGCAAATAAAATTACAATTCAAAAAAAAATTAGTTATAAAAACATCTCAATCATTCGCATGTTTGTATAGTTCAATGTTTATATAATTAAACTTATTCATAATTTAAACTGTTGATATGAATATTAATTTTTAATAATTTAAATATATGCCATGAGTGTGTGATGTTTTTATTGATTATTTTTTTCCATATTAACTACATATTTTTTGTATAATACACAGATGTACATTTTGTTTTTTTATTAAATAATCATTGTTTATAGGTCTAATATTTATAACAAACAATTATTGAAAGTAATTTTTATTACTTACATTTTAGAAAAACAAACCGGTTAAAATTAGGCCGCAGTATCGGCAACTCATTTAAGTTCCACATGCATACGAGTTAAGTACATAGTATAACTTTCCTATCTAGGTTAAACAAGGTATCGCGATTGGTGCATGGCTAGCCTGCTTGCATGCTTGGTGCTGATCGTTGGTCTCGATTCTGTGCGGCCAAACTTTTTAGTTTAATTTTCACTTCCTCCCGATAGGCGGGACTCACTGGTCTTAGATTTTTAAAAATAAATCCCACATCAACAAGCTTTTTTTCTAAAAATTTCAAACGTGTTTCTGGAAAAAATAAGTTACCACCCCCTTCTACCGGTCCAGTGGCTGACAGCGGGCCCGACATGCCTAGTTAGCATTGATTCCATATACATGCGAGATAAGCACTGTATTTGCACGTTGAAGCCAAGTTTTTACACCACTTTGATGTATGCTACAACTGGTAGCACTAAAGTGATTGTTTGCACTAAGTTCTAGCACCACCACTGTAATTGACTCTTTCTTTAACTGTTATGTTTTTTTGCATTTTGATAATGATATTCTTGTGCTGTACTGTAGATATCAAAGAGTTCAAGAATGAGGAATGATGTTCTAGATGCTGGTCTTGGCCACTGGTTTTCAGATGAAATGTGCAATGACGGTAGAAATCGGGTAATTAACTCTTGATTTACTCATTTGCACAGCTAGGTAAAATTAACTTTGCACTATCGCAATATTGTTGACTTAATCTTTTAAGATTATAAAAAATATTTTTCATACCATTTATATGGATATATTCACCTGGCTTAATTTCTCGAATATTGCTATTTTAGAATAACAATCTTACTGTTAGTCCGTCCAAGGACTACTCAATATTTTCGATTATTTACGGAGTCGCATGTCTCTCCACCTTTTGTTCCAATTTTTCCTATAGTTGTACTACATATATTGAACATGACTTTGTATTTCCTAGATATCTTGTGATTGACACACACCTTTCTCTACTTCCTACATAGGCCATTATATATAGCTTAGGTTATTCCGCAAAAATATATATATATATATATATATATATATATATATATATATTAATTATTGCAAAGTTGTTTATATTAAGGGCCCCCAGATTTAATTTTGCCCCAGGCCCCCAAAAACTCAGGACCATGCTCTAAAGGTTGAGCAAGTCTTCCCCGTTCTAAACAGCATCATGGATCTTCACCGCACCGAGCTGACCCGTGGATCAACAGAGTAAACCACCTCACAACCTCGGATGGAACTGCAAAAAAGCAACTCAACAAAAATGAAAAAAAAAACATATCACCCCTTTGCATTTGGTCATAGATCACACACACGCATTTTTTTTTCATCCTGGAGATTATATAGATCTTCTACATTTTTGAACAGCATGCTTCCAGCCTCAACTTGTGGCCAGAACCGAGACCCTTAGTTCTTCAGCGTGAGAATTGCTCTCCTGACTCTTAATGAACAGAATTGCTGCCCTTAAGTTGCAATTATCATTGGTTCACCACAGACCGATCAACATTTCATCTCTTTTTACTTGTATGCGTGATGTTGAAACTGAGGTTCGCTGATCTGGACAACATCAATCAAGAAGCCAAAAGTTGTTTCTTCTGCCTTGGGAAAATCACCGGTGTACTGCTTATCATTCAGGTCATTGCAGGATGCACAGGTGTGCGTGTGCGCGCGTGCCGGTGGTTCAGATGTATAAGGAGCTCACCGCCAAGAGGCAATTCCTTCAAACAGCATCGTCACTTCCCTTTGGTTCGCTACTACAGGCTTTGCCTTGGGCACCCTGCAAGTAGAACACATAAATAGATTTCAGAAACATTGTTTAGTGTGGCTGTACTGTAGAGATGCGTATATATTGTCAAGCTTCTGCATATCTCGGGGGATCGAACCAATATGTTTTGCAACTTCCATTTTCTCTCTGGCGTGATATTTTGTTCTGGGAACTGAAAGAAAAATTAACTTTCACTTCAGCAACATATATAAATCCAGCTCGGAGATAAAGCCAAATTCGAAAATAAAGACATAGGAAATAGAACAAGGTCGGCTAAACATTTCTTTTCATTCTCCTTTGATCAACAGATGGCAGTGCTCTTCTGAAATCTATGTAGAGGCAGAACATGTTGTTTCAGTGATGACTCAAGTTGACTTGGAGTCTGAAAAATCTCATACAAAGCATGCTTACCTTTTTGTCGATGCAAGCCACATAGGTTTCATACTTGAAACGCAAACATGCAAAATAATTAGCAAGACAAGACAATAAAACGGGAACTTTTGTTGAACAGCTGAAGTAACATATATTTCTCCATGAAGAACCATGAAGAAGATGAGCCTAGCATCTTTTTTATCCAACCATGAAACGCAGGTGGCATCTTTCGAAGTTCAGTTTAATCCGACTCATGCGCAAGGGGAATATGTTCTTTTGATATATTTCCCCGAAGCATCATAGAAATCCATGTGAGTATCGGTTAAAATAACAAAACATCAGCGTCACCAAGCCCTATAAACAATGGAG